CTCCAGCTGCGCGCGATAGTGGGCATTAATGGCATGTGCCGGGGTCGCCGCGAGGGTGAACAACAGAGCAATCACTGTTAACTGTGCTTTCATCAATAAACCTTAGTTGTGGTGAGCATGTTTATGTGCATTTTCTGTCGCTCTTGCCGCATTCGCATAAGCGGCGGAGAGCGAAGCGTTATTAATGCCTTGTTGTCTTTGCTGTTCGGACAAATAGCACGTGTCATAACTTACGCCTTTCGCCGTGCAGTTTGCGATGCGCTGATCGGGCGATACGCACCCCGCAAGTATAAATATACCCGCCACGGTAATAATTAATTTTTTCATTTTAACCTTTATAAATTACACAGATAATAGGATACATACATCGCGCCTATCCAAATTCCGACGCCAATTAGCATCAGGTACAGCACGGCTGAGATGAATATATATCTGGACATGTTTTTTGCTATCATCGCTATTCTCACCAGAGACGAGCGGGTTATATATGTATCAGCGGTGTTTTATTCAAAAACCGATCCCGATACCCGCGCCCATAGCAAGATCGTTATTTGTCGAATCGCTAATACCAGCTTTGATCACTGTATGTTCACCGGCATGGAAAGAAGCGCCAACGCTGATAGCTTGCTCATTCTTAAATGACCCTACACCAGCAGAGAACATCATAGCCTGATCTTTTTCGACCTGTGGCATTGATGCAATCGCAACGGCAGAGGCTACTCCACCACGCGCTTCTTTCTTGTTGTCGTCGACTTCATCCTTCAGGTTTTTGAATTGAGCATTGTTTGAAGATTGTGCTTGTGCAAATACTTGTTGAGCAGCTTTCAGATCTTTAGTTTGTGCTGTAGTTTGTGTATTAAGTGACTTAACCAGATTGATAGTTTTAGTATCGACTTCTTTCTTAGTGATGGTAGTCGTAACGCCGTTCTTACCATTCACACCATCTTTACCATTCAACCCATTCTTACCATCTTTCCCGTTAACGCCGTTTTTCCCGTCTACGCCGCCTTTACCTGCTTTACCGTCAATACCATTTTTACCATCAGCACCATCTTTACCAGCAACACCCTGTACACCTTGCGCACCTGTAGCCCCATCTTTACCATCGATCCCGTTTTTACCATCAATACCATCTTTCGGGGTAGGCTGGTTTTCCAGTGCAGCAATACGTGTTTCATGATCATTAAGCAGCACATCATGATTATCAACAGTAGTCATAATCAAGTGATCGGCGTTATCACGATCAATTTTCTCTTGATTAATCTCACCTTGCAGAGCGTTACCAACAGTAGTTAATTTTTGACCTACAGTGTCAGCAGCATCAAGAGCAGTTTTAGCATCAGTTTTAGCGCTACCAGCCAGACTAAGAGCAGAGCTAGCTTCACTAATCGCGCTATCAGCTTTACCTTCTGCATTAGTAGCTATAGTTTGAGCGGCTTTGATTGCTTCACCGTTTAGATAATCATCATTAGAAAGCCCATCTACTTGACCTTGAATGTTTTCCGCCCATTGAGTAGAGCCATTTGCATCAGTGGCGAAATCAAAAGCATAAGCAATATTCATTGAACCAGCAAAAAGAGCACCAAAAATAGCAACAGTAATCACTGATTTATTAAGTGGTTTCATTGTAAAGACTCGCAATATTCTATAGATAAAATAAACGGTAGTGTTATTACCAATGTTTGGTCTGGCAGAGCAAAAAGAGTAAGTTCAAATATGTCAAATTTTGTAAAGAAACATCTATTTGTTTTATGTAACGGTGGTGAACTATAGATAATTCGCGCTTAAAATTATTGATTTAGGTCAAGTAAAGCACCAATAGCTAAAGTGGTATGTTGCGGTGAGTCTTTAATTTTTCTTTTTTTATCAGTGATTTAAAGTTTTCACGGAAAAGGCTTTAGTTAAGTTTATGATTGGAATGGAATTTTATTTCACTTTTTTAGGTGGTTTATTTTACTGCTTAGGTAGTGGAGTTATTTAATGATTCATTTCATTTGAAACGAAGAGCTTTTAAAGGTGAAAGTAAACATTGAAATGCGCGCTGATTAATCGCGGTGATTAAAATTTACGTTTTAGGAATAACCAATGAGAGAGGGATGTAACTGGAAAGATAAAAGAGAATCGTTAACTTCTTATACGTATCTACTATGTTGCTTCTTATCTTCGCTCTAACTAATACCTTTCGGGACTATTAGTCTTTGGTGTTCGCTCCTGCCGTGCGTGATTCAGCTATTCCAGATGTGGTAAATCGAAAAATCTTGCACCCTGCCTACGGCCCCGGTTACACTAAATACTCACAAACTATTGATCTGTAATTAATTGTTTTATAAGTATTTTGACTCGGGGTGCCCTTCTTTGTGAAGGCTGAGAAATACCCGTATTACCTGATCTGGATAATGCCAGCGTAGGGAAGTCAGATGCCTTCCCGGTCATCGCTTCT